GTTAGGAAACAAAACCTCCAGAACACGGCCACACAGCCCGGAAGACCCACACCAGCCATCAATTTCCTTTTACAATGGTCACATTTGAATGGATAATTTAGGAGGCTATAGAGATGTGCAACAGATAAATGCCTTTGAGGTGGGTGTTACAGTACCCCCAGAATTGCTGGTTTTTACAGCCTGCTACCAGAGACCTATCAAACAATTACTATTTTGATAGGCCTGATCTGTAGATGTCTGGCAGTGTTTACAAGGATCCAGAACTATAACATTCCCTTATTATTAGGCACTCCAGGAATATTACATGGTGTAGGGTGCAGTATAAATCTTTGAACTAATAAACAGACTACAAAGAGTAAGTGTCATGCCTGAGAAAGCTTCGTGCCTTACTTCAAGGATGATGAGAACAGTGTTTATAAAAGAAAGAGAAAGTATAGTTCTTGAGGTACACTTGAGGACCAAAGCTGTTTAGGGTAGAATTTTCCCACTAGTTGTGTCCCCAGAAAAATTGGGTGTAAAATTCCAAGAAATTCACAGTCAATATCACCTAAAGGTAGAGTGGATGGGAATTCTAGAAATTGCGTCCCCAACATACCAAAAATGATTTAGGTTACTACAGACAAGAATTGGCATGTTTAATTGCTATTAGAGGAATACATAACTGACTAGGAGAAAGGAAGGAATTCTGAGCAGTGTGGTTAAAGTGTTGAATTAGGTTCAAATTCATCCTATTCATGAAAACTCACTACAAGTAGTCCTCAACTTACAATGGTAATTGGGACTGGAATTTCCATTGCTAAGTGATGCAGTCGTAAACTGTGACGTCATGTGACTGCATCGCTTAGCAATGGAATCGCTGGCACTCCCTGTTGCCGTCATTAACCAAATTCCACTGGTCCTTAGTCGAGGACCCACCCCAATCGAAGCCATTCCAGGCTTGGTCCCTTCCAGCCCTGAGCCTCAGTAAGGTAAGGGGCTGCCTCCTCAACTCCCCACGCCTGCCTACCTCCCCCCCCGTCTCTGCACCTTTGGCCGCCTGCACTCTGCCTTGTGGGGCGGCAAGCAGCCCCAGAACTGTATGGCTGTGGGGCTGTTTGCCACACCACAGCTCTGCAAGAAGCCCCTGAGCCACAGTGTGAAACTGCAGCTGCCCCTGGAAACCTCAGCCACCCAAGCCCGGTCCAGCAGTGCAGCACAAGGTGGCAACACCCCGGGAAGCCCCAGCAGCATGGCGCAAAGCCACAGCCACCCCAGCCAGTCACCCTTGCCACCCTGTACTCTGAGACCCCTGCACTCCATCGCCCCAGCTAACTTTCACCATCATCTTGTTCCTGCTGCTGACAAGGCCATCCTCCTCAGGTCTTGCGAGGAAACTGCCATGTGCGACCTTGGAAAGAAAGCCTTGTGTGGCCAGCAGCTGCCTTGCGAAGGGCCAAGCTGGGCATGTTTAGTCAGGAGTGGGAGCAAGAAGACAGCGAAGGTTAGCTAGGGCGGCAGGGGCTGCAGAATGCAGGGGGCCAAAAGGGCATAGATGGGGGGTAGATAGGTGGGTGGGGGGCACTGAAATGCCCCTGCAGTCATAAGTGTGGGCAGGCTGCCAAGCATCCGAATTTTGATCACATGACCACGGAGGCGCTGCAATGGCTGTAACTTCAAGGACTGGTTGTAAGTCCCTTTGTTCAGCACCACCATAACTTTGAACAGTCGTATGAATGGTTGAAAGTCGAGGACTACCTGTAATTGATTTCTTGGCCAGTCAAGTCCAACCTTCCTCAGAGTTTTTAATATTTACAATATAACCCCTACTTTTTCCTCCCCATCTTTGAGGGGAGGGGAACTTTGATGTAGAAAAAAATATTTGAGAACAGCAAAAATATTTTAACATACAGGTTGTCCTTGCTTAACGACCATTGATTCAGCAACCATTTGAAGTTATGATGGTGCTCAATGAATGGCATTTATGGCCAGTTCTCAAAGTTATGGCTGTTGTAGCACCCCCACTGTCATGTGATCAAAATTCAGGCACTTGGTAGCCTGTCCACTTTGACAACTGCAGGGTGCACTCAAACTCCCCCTACCCACCTATCTCTGTCCTTCTGTCCGCCCTGCACTCTGCTGCCCCTGCGACCCTGCCCTCCACTGCAACTGCCTCACAAAGGGCCAAGCCAGTCACACTTTGTCTGCAGGAGGAAAAAGATGGTGAAGGTCAGCTGGGGGCGGTGGAGTGCAGGGTGGCCAAAAGGGCAGAGATGGTGGGGGGGAAATAGGTGGGTGGGAGAAGTTGAAGGGGAGGTGAGTACAGCAGGACAGAAATGTGTGATCCTGGCCTAAGGACCACAACTGGGACTACTGAAACTACTGTCCTTAAGCGGTGCAGTCACGTGATGTTTCGCCTAACAACCACATTGCTTAGCAACAGAAATTCCAGTCCCAATTAGGGTAATTAAACGAGGACTACCTGTACATCAAGATTCTGGAACATTCTGGTAAATTTGAGATTTAGTCTTTTCAGATATCTTAATTCTGCCATTGAGACAAAGAGAATCGCTATTTTTTTCCCATTGTTCAGATTGCATCACAATTTCCTTTGGTGACAATGGTTTTTTTTAATATGCTTGAAGAGTTTTGTTCAACATCTATTCTGTTCTACAAAACCATATTCTGCATATATCAATTTATCTACTCAATCTTTACCTCTCACTTGTTTAATTCATATAAATTAAACAAACATAAAATACAGAAGATAAAAATGAAATCATTAACACTGCAATTGAAATGGTCCCAGGTGAATTTTATTTCATCTTCTATAGGGCTCGCTCACTGGCACTTTTTCATGCTCTGGCCCTTCCTATTTGTAGAACACTCAAGAGCTAACAAAAAGCCAGGGAAATATAGAGATTAAAAATACGATTAAAATCTGTAAACATTGTAAAATATTAAAATCTGTACAATACAAAAATACAATTAAATTTGTAAATATAAAAAAATATTAATATTGAAAGGCATACAGGTAGTCCTTGGGTTATGACAGCACTTGGGACTGGGACTGCTGTCGCTGAGCAATGTGCTTGTAAAGAGTGACATCATGTGACCACATCGCTTAGCAATGACAATCCTGGCAGTCCCAGTTGCCATTGTAACCTCAAGTCATGTAGGAAGCAGTGGGAGTCCCAGGTAAGGAGCGCGGGGGTGCCATGGGGGGTGGGGGAGACCTGGCGCAGGCCTGGTGTAAGCGAAGGGAAGCCAGGGGAAGGAAGGTGCAGCTCAGCATGAGTGCAGAGAGGCCAAGAGAAGGAGGGTGCCACATGAGTGCAGGGAGGCCGGGGGCAACTTACTAGAGCAATTTGTGACCTTCCCTGCCAGCTTCCTGATTGACTTTGATTGTGGGAAGCTGGCAGGGAAGATCACAAATGGTGATCATGTGGCGCTGTACCTGTCATAAGTACAAGCTGGTTGCCAAGCACCCAAATTATGATCACGTGACTGCAGGGGTGGTGCAATAGCTGGAACTTCGAGAACCGGTCATAAGTACTACTCATTCAGCACTGTCATAACTTTGAACAGTCGCTGAACGAGTGGTTGTTAAATGAGACCTACCTGTACTTTCTGAGGCCTGCTGATCCAACAGACCTTAATATAAGAAAGATTTGTAATGTAGGGCCAAATAAAAGCTCTGTTGCATTATCTCTAAACAGACATGTCACAGACAAGGAAACAAACAATAAACAAACACACTTGGCAGTATATTCTAGGATGGAGAAGTGTCCAGTCAGGATTTTAAAAGACTATATAGGAACAAAGTACCTTTGTATGTGCAAAAAATGTAAAGTTTAACCATATAAAGCAAAAAACATGAATTAAATCAATGAAAAATTGACACATTGTGCTATGGAAGTTTATAAGTACCATAACCATTCCAATGCCAGTATCTGCTCCTGTGGGAAAGATCCAACAATCATTGCTAAATAAACTTTTCTCTTTAACTGTTGGCTTCCTCTGCTCGTTGCATGTGGGATTGTTTATTCCCTTCCTTTCCACTGGTACAGAAAAATATACATTTGCCTCTGTCACTGATATATAGAACAGAAACTAGAATTTAGGATGAATAAGAGAATGCAAAACTGAGCCTTGTGCCTTATGATGCTCAGAGATCCAAGACTATTATGATAATACAGGAAGGAAAAACATGCCAACCTGTGATACAGTAACAACTGTTTAATCCATTTTTTCCCATTTACTTTAGCTTCTATACCCACTCTATACACTCATTCATTTTAGTGATTTTTGTCACAAACTTTTACCCCCTACATTATATATTACTTACCAATAATGGTGTTTGATGTAGTCCTTCCTCTTCCCCCATTTTATAGAAGATTCCATACAGCAAGTGGTCTAGCACCACCTACCTGAGAGCAGTAAGAAATATATTCAGTAATTAAATAAAATATTTGGCATACATGGTGGGGACTTCTGCTCCTCCCATGAACAAAATAATGCAAATAAAAGTATGATAACTATTCCCTTTATCTATAACTATATTATGTATGTTTTATGGAGCATTTTCAAGCACTCAAAACTTTTCATATATAGTATATTATATTTTGTAATTCTTACAACTAGCCTATAAGAGAGGTCAGTATTATTCCCAAATTGCAGATTGGGAGTGGAAGTAAATATAACAGAGAGTAAGGCCACGTAGTACCTTCCCTGGAAAGATGGAACACAGTCTTCAACACAACACTGCATAGACTTCCTGCAAGAATTTTACTGTGACAACTGAAAATGCCCTCTATACATGTGCACACAAACACACACAGGCATACAGCTGAATCAAGTTTTTTAGGTCCCTACTTACTAATTGTATAAAAGAACTGGGAAATATTACCTACCTTTCCAAATTCCAATACTTGGGGACCAAAACACACAACTGTGTCCCAGCTATAGCTTTATCAGGAATTTATTTCTTAAACTTTTAAGGATCTGAAGTCACTTTTGGTATTATCAGTTACTCTTAGAAAATATACTATAGTTACTGTGGACTGGGTCCAAAGAGTATTAGAAGATATTATAGTATTTACTGAATAACAGTCTATAGAAATATAAAATAACTGAGGTGAAAAAGCACATTTAAAAGTAGTGGAGGAAAAAAATAAATCTAGAATGACATACTTGAGCAAAAACATTTAAGAAAATAAAGATATATTTTACAAGCCTGGCCAACTAAGGTTTTATAAGGAAGGATATGGAATGAAGCAGCCTTTCAAATTTGACAAATAAATATTAGTTATACACTAATCATGGTTATAAAAACTGGCTTTTGAAGTCAGCCATAGAGTTTATAGGGATGTATAGGGTCTAGTGATTAAAAGGTGGGATGGAGATGAGGATTATAATTAAAAAGTGGAGACTACATATGGATACATGAAAATAAAGCTCTAGCCTATAAATGAGACAAAAAGAAGGTGGGACTGGAAGGTAACACAAAAAGCTAAGAAATTACCAGATTATTTAGCAAGAGGACAATAGTTACAGAACTGATATGGCAAGAGCTGTTTCAGCTAGACGTGTTTTTTTAGGAATGTACAAGCCCTGCACAGAACTACCACGATTATATTGCTGGATCTCAGAACAATGTTGTTGGCTGTGATATTTTTACTCCTAAGTTTTTTTTATACAATATGATCAGCAACAAGAGGAGGGATGTATTTAAACAGGCATTTTTATTTATTTTTTTAAAATGAAGGACAGTGAGAGGCTTAACAATTATGGCTGGTACAGAAAAAATGGATAAATAATGTAGTAGTAAAATTGATGTACGGTAGCTCCAATACAGGCAAACACTCATTGTTTATTCTATTCTGTTTGACACTAAAAAATAGAGTTTCTTATTTAGGACAGCTTTATTAGATAATGTTGGTGAGGATATGGACTCATTCAGATGAACATTATGAATCTAGCATCCTTCTCCCTCAGTTCACATGCTTCCTGTTGCATGCAGTGAAAAAAACTGGAAGATTTCTATTTCTGATTAATAAGTTAGGCTATTCTGTTTTGTGAAACCAGTATTGATCTACCTTTTATGAAAGGTAGCTAAGTCCAAAGCATTGTTTGTGGCCTGTTTCCTAACTTTACAGTTTAGGAGCTGGAAACATATTAAATGGCATATTATTGTCAAACAGATGCAAAAGCTAATTTTCTCAAAGCAGTTCTAATAATGTCCAACCACAGACAGGAATCTGTTACAAGACAGATGGGAGAAAGGATACCTAATTCAATATTCTCTTTGAAACTAAAGCAAACCCATGGACTCCACCTTCTGTTAACACCCACCTTGTCCTTGTAATATCCTCAGAAGGGTAAACCATGTTGCACAAGGATCCTTTGGCATGTATGTCACTTGAAACTTCAAACCATCAATCATGGAGGGGAAATACATGTGCCACATTTCCTTGTGTGAAATATATGTTTGTTGGGGATAAATAAGATACTATGAAAATTATGATAAGGAAAAAGTACTACCAAGTTTTAACGGGAATGTAGGAGAAGAGAGACAGAATTTAATTATGGCAGCACAAAAGATGTGAAAATAAAGCTTTTCTATCAAGAAGCAGAAGAAAATAATTGTAGAAAAAACGTGATAGTTGCTTGCGTGAAAGCCTATGAAAGAAAGTGCTTATGAAAGAAAGAGATGAGATGGTGAATGTTTTGAAAGTTGATGGGATGGAGAAGCAGAGTCTGAAAGTACTTTCAGGCTGTACAGAGAGCGGCGGGGAGGCAAAGAAGAGGAAACAAATCAGGAGATATGTGAAGAAAGATCATTCGGCAGTGACCCTTAAAAAATAGGCGAGGAAAAGAAAACATTATACGGCAGCCTTCCTTAAAGTAGCCCCAGACACGTAAGAACTCTCGTAATTCCCTAGTCAGCATAGCTAATGACCACGTTGGTTGGGAATGATGGGATCTGTAGTCCCACATTTGGAGAACGTCAAGTGAAAGACGCGAAAGAACGGGAGCCGGAGGCGTGTGGAGTAGCGCCTGAGGAAAAGTAGCTGATTAAAACAGGTGGGAAAGAAGAAAACTCGCCAAAGCTGCTGAGGGCGCCGGGGACGAGGGAATGATTCATCCCCCCCTCCATCTCCACGGCCGCCATTTTGGAGCCACGGCTCAGTGACCCTGCGCGGGTACTTCTTCCTTGACTAGCTCTACCACGCCAGCTTGCTCCTTTTGCCTCTCGGACTTTGAAGCTAACGCCTGCCTCCCTCCTTCCTTCCTTCCTTCCTTCCTTTTCAACCGGGACCGCTTTCCCCATCCCCGCTTACCCGCTGATCAAAGCCGACTGCCTCACAGGGAGCCCGCTCTCGCTTCAATGATGTCCGCGCCTGAGAAAAAGGGGAGGGACCAACGGCTGCGAAAGCTCCTCCCCCTTTCTTCCAGCTCCCTACTCGCCATCTTTTGTCAAACTCCACAAAGAAACGAAAGCCCCGCCCTAATATCTTCCCAGCCTTCCCATTGGGAGAGAGAATTGCATCTGAGCAACTTTCGGGCCCGCCCAGTACAACTTTCGCTTCCCATTGGGTAGTAAGCGAGGGAAACCTTTTCTTCTGAGATCAAACGTTCCATTAGCTGCCGGAGCGCTGGGCCGCTTAATCTCCTTTGACCCCTCCTTCTCCTCCTAGTTCTTTTACATACGGATTACTATTGGGCCCCAACGTTACTATGGTATTCAGCCCCGCCTCGCCATAGTAAGTGGCCGGCGGAGGACCGGCGAAGTTTCAGAGACCTGCCAAAGGCCCGGTCATCGTGGAACGCCGCGCGCGGACCCTTGGGCGCGAGCCTCATGAATGAATGAGACTGATTCCCTAGTAGCCCTGCTGGTTCGGCTTTCCGTTCTGCGACTATTTAATAAGCATGCTTCCTTGCCTCTTGTGCCTCCGTTTAAATCGTTAGGTGAGACAAAATTACACATGAGCTGCTATATGAAGATACTAGCAGAAATCAGCCGTGCTCCTCTTCTGAAAATCACCCGGGAAAAAATAGTGGGTACCCAGCACGCGACAGTCTAAAACGGGAGAATCTATAGCAGTGTTTCTCAAGCTAAGCCACTTTAAGATGTGTGGACTTCAACTCCCAGAGTTCCCCAGCCAGCACGTGGCCAAGTTTGAGAAACACTGATCTGTAGGAATCCTATAGTAAGATATCATGGCTTCAGGTTAATTCTTCTCTTAAAAGCTTTCCATGGGGCGCGAAGGGGGTGGGGGGAAGCTTGCAATGAATCAAATCCTAAGGGGCTCAACCTGGCTTAAATGTTTGATCTGTAGAGCTCCTGTATTTTCATACTCGCGCTCCAAGTATTTTGTCGTCTTGTGAAATCGGAAAAAGGGCTTTTTCCCTCTCTATTGGGGGATAGTTTTTGCAGCAAAACATTTGGTGGCCCCTTAAAGACGTTTGCAACACGATAATCTATAAAACTGTAATCCACAAAAGTTGGTATGATAATACATTTGTTAGTCAAAGCTCTCAGTCAGTCTTCTTTCAGTAACAGCTAACCAGCAATCCGAGTCTATCCCCTACCATGGTGCCTTCCGATGTGTTAGACCAGGAGGTTTCAACCTTTTTCAGGTCATGGAACCTGGTAAATCAAACATTCCTGGAATCCCTGACCCAGAAGCAAAGCTGTGTCTGAATGAAGGTTTTTTTAGTCTTCTACGAACCCCATCAAGTTCTAGGATTTAGTGGAACCCAGTTTGAAACATCCTGTGTTAAACTACAGCTTCCAGGATTTGCAGCCAGCAAAGGTATCCAAACAGAAAGGCTGACTTATCCACAATGATCATGGGAAACCTCTCTAGCCCTCACACCAGCTTTTGGTTTTTCCTTAGCCAGTATTTTCTCAACCTTGGCAACTTTAAGATGTGTGGACTTCAACTCCCAGAATTCCCCAGCCAGCACATGCTGGCTGGG